CTCTGTGGAAGAAAAGTAAATAAATAAATTATTTAGGACAACGAAGGCATAAAACCAAACCCTGATAAGATAAGAGCAATAACCGAATACCCAATTCCAAAAACCAAACGGTTAAAAGAATTTTTAGGCCTATTAGGGTACTACCGTAAATTTATAAAGGATTTCGCGAAAATATTATGCAGTCATCATCATCCCTCGAGAATGCTTTCACTCTACCTTTATAGATCACCTCAACCTTTTAAATATGCCATATTTGCCCAAGAAATCGCGGCCAGCCTACAAGAAATGCTTGTGCAAAATGTGGCCATCACGCATGCAAAGAACACATGGCAAATTTGTGTATTACCTGCTTGGCCGAGTAAAAATAATTTCATTTTTATACCCCCATTTTTAAGGGTTGTAATAAATATATAATTTTTTATCTATCTGAACCAGATATGTCAATTTTTTAATCTTAGATATTTAAAAAATAAATAAAGACAATTATTATTGCTATTTTTATGTTTCTTGGTATGTTAGGTTTACTTTATTAAGTTTTAGACTCACACATTTTTTTTGTTACTGTTTTAAACAATTTAATTTTAAAATTTTTGCTTTTCACTCTCGAAAAAATTCTTATAAAAATATTTTGATGTAAAGTATACATTTTATCAAAGTATACACATAAATTAACCTATATTTTAAATTTTGCGATATAAGGGGTCACATAGTAACAAACGCAACATGGGCTACGATGGTAGACTTTCAAAAATAGCGAATGCTCCGGGATTATTAATAAGTTATATAATAAAGTTCAACGATAAATTTAATCTTTTGTTTACGGTGTTTTTGGGTATTAAATCATGTTTTATTTAAGGCAATCTTATATTAATTTTGTTGCCAGACAAATAAATAAAGAATCACAGACCCTCACCGGTTTATCCGAAAAACGTAGCAACACAAAATTTATTTAGCCACGTTTAAATTTTTTACCGTAAGATAAGATTCTAGACAGCCAGAATTTAATCGCACCTCCTTTAAAACTTATGACAGTATGATAATAATACAGTAAAAACATTTTAATTTTTTTTATTTAAGAAACTGCAATTAAAAAAATATTATAAGATACCTATATATAATTTTAAAGTAAATGTAATACAGTTTTTCTAGTTTACGAGCAATTAGTCGAGTGCTGAACTGGGAACCTAGGAACCCAGTTATAGTAAGTGGATTTAAATAATTTAAGAATTTTAGAGTTTTTTATATCTTAAATAAAAAATTTTATTCTTTAAAAATTGTTGCTAATATTTTGTTTCTTCTAAGAATAGTTTTATTTTTTGAAGTATACATCGTACGTTATTAGTTCTGTTAATATTAATTGTTTCTTTACCTAAAATATATGAAAGGAAAATATTGGAATTCAGGCATTAGGTCACCCGAAGGCCTTCGTATGTTAGCATCATTTTGCTATAAGAATGAGTTAAAGTCCAGCAATAATTTACAAATATATATGTACTATATAAAAACTTTAAGTGAGCTTAAGTAAAACAAGGGTTTACAAGAAGTATAAGCGTTTCTAAAATGGCCTTAAGTTCGTTGACGAGCACATCACATTAACAACCGACGAAAAGTGAATGAAATAGTGATGTACGAATTGCTTGTTATTAAATTTTTGGTCGGAAACAATATATTGATAAGTTATAACTTAACTACCCTCCATATTTGTCAGACAGGCGCCGTGTTACTGAAAATGAAGAGCCGTCATTTTACAAGCATATATTCTCAATCTTTTAAATAACTTTTATCTAAAATTATCTTACCAAGCATTTAAGTCTATAAAAAAACTTGGCAAATCTGTATTATTTCTGTGCTGTATATCATACATCTACGGAAACAAACTAAACAAGGCATCTAGCAACGACTTAAAGTTAACATAGTTAAAAACTTAAAATAATCTATCAAACTATTTACGAATATATTCTTTTAATATACTTTTTTTACTCCCACCTTTAAAATATATGTTTTCATGACACTAAGTGACCTTTTAAATACACATTGACAAGTTGTGGCATTATGGCGTTTTAGTCACAGGCTGAAGTTAGCAACAGGTTTTAGTCACAGGCTGTAGTTAGTTTTAAGTTGGTTGACAGTTGTCAAATGTCAATACTATCGTTGTAATAAAGTGCTCTTCTTGTATAATAAATTTAAAAATGATTTTATTATTTTAATAAATAAATACAAAAGTATTAAATAGTTTCTCAACGCGAATTTTTAAAAAAATTATATTTCCTTTTAATTTCGCCGGCAGTAAACTAGATTTAACTTAATTTCGGGTGGAGACCACCTTGGAGTGCCAATAAAACATTGAAAAACTGCTTCTATATCGGATTAAACGGTCCATTTTTAAGGGATTTATTTAGATTTACATATAAAAATACAGATTCCCAAGTTGGTTACTCTATTGTTTTATAAATATCGCTTCATACAATAATACATAATAATAATTAATTCAAATCATTTTTAGATAATACTATGTAGTTGTCGTATAAAAAGTATGGTATTCAACTCGTTTATAAACTTTTCTAGACACTCATTTAATGAAGCACTTGCTCGCAAGCTTGCTCGTAAATTAAATTCGTGTCTAAAATGGCATTTATAAACTTGATACATAATATATTTTTAAAGTAATTTTTATAAGTGGTAATTTTTATGTACCTTCTAAATTATGCAAGAAAAATACATGTTCTTAGAGTGTTTCAAAAAAGGCGATATTATTTTTTCTTTATTTACTTTAAAGCACTTTTTTATTTTGTAATCTTTTTAATTATATATTTTGGATTTCTTCGAACCACATTTTTACAAATTGTAGAATCTCTATTTTTGTATAGCTTATTGTCCCTTTAAAACCACTTTTTGATGAAATTGGACGCCTTTGAAGCAATTTTAATTACGAAGTTCGTTCTACAAGTCCTAACAACTTAATATTCGGAAGATACTCAAATATTTACTCATTTCTCATTAAAGAAATATTATATAAGTTTAAAATTAAAATATTTTATTTTTTACACGCTTAGAAGTCATTATACAAAAATAATACATTAACATAAATAATTTTATTTAAATAAAAATTTAGCAAAAAAAAATAAAACAAATAAAAAATTAACAAATTATGTTGGCAACTTAAAGTTCGGTCGTCTAACGTTTTTAATTTATTGTCATCAAAGTAAAAATGGCCCGTGGTAAGGCTACTTCTAAAGAAATTTCAAAAATTGTAATAAAACAATACCATGAAGAAAAGAGGATGGGAACTATTGGTAAAAATTAAATTTTGCGAAATCTACAATAGGAAACAAATGTTACGGGAAAACCAGTGGTTACAAAATTCGGGGTAAAAATACCGGGCAGCCAAGAAAAGTGTCTCCTAGAATGAGGACGTTCTTAAAGGAAACGCCCTCTCTCGTTATTTTTGGTGGGGGAAGATTTCCGGTTTAATTTACGCGGAAAATTCGCGTGTTCATGCCTTGGAATTGTTACGCACAATGAGTATTAGGGTGGATCGAAAAATTTCAAAGTTGAAATTTCGACTCGCTATACCGCGCAAAAGTTGCCTTAGGTGTATAAAAGCATAACAAAAAAAAATTATTAAATTCGGATAACATCTTCCGATCGCGCAAAACGCCGAAAGTTTTAAAAAAATACGAATTTGACAGTTTTTTCGCATATGCTTTTTTTTAACTTAAGGTTTGTATTTTTTAGCGCTATGGTGCTTAAACGTTAGTAATAGTATTGACTTGCCTGCAGAAAAAATATCACCACTTTTAAACCATATCTTCCGATCGCGCAAAGCGTCTAAATATTTGCAAAATATGCAAATTTTTTCCGTAAGTTTACATATACAAATGTGCAAATCTTTGCTTGCTTAGAAATAATTTAATTAATTTTAATGTATTATCTAAACAACCCAGAACGAGGATGTGGCTACACTTAGAGTTCCACCCACACCCTTCCCTCCATCCAACCATTAAGAGTGTGCCAATTTATTCCGACTTTTCCAATGTCACTTTGTAATCTGCCTTACTGCTGAATTCGTTAATTGCCTCTCTCGATTTGAGTGTTGCCCTAATGTATCCATCCCTTGATTGCGGCCCGCATACCTTAAGAGAAGCTTCGGTAACTAGCTTCACACAACGCTCCACAGCTTGCGTGTGACATGGGAACTCTCTTATATCCCAATCCGGGGTCTCCTCGATTGTATGACGCTTTTGATTTCTTTATCACTTATCCCACGGAGAAGAAGTGCTTTTTGTAGTGCTCCAATCTATCATTTCAGTGTAATCTAATGCGTCAAATTTAAGTGAAGGAGTGTGAAAGTTCCTAATGCCTTTTCCAGTCGAAGCAGACTGTCTGGCCTTTAGCACTCTTCTGAGCCCTAACTCTCTAATGTGCCTCCTCTCATCAAATAGCATGGCTATTAAAATGTTTTCAGGATGGGCGCAGAAAGAATTTCTTTCAATTACCGGGAATACCACTGCCTTTAATTCATTACTCAGGTATCTAGATGTTTCTATTGCCCGGTACTGGGTCTGCTTGAAATTCGGTTGTCACACTTAATTTTGAACCACACCGGCATATATGATTTCAAAATAAAAGTGGCAATGGCAAGGCATTCTAAGGATATATAACACTAACATATAGCCGAAGGATTCTATTTGCGCAGGTGCACAAGCAATTAAATCTCGCACTTTTCCAAACGATCAAAGATCTTTGATCTTTGCTCAGTAGGTTATTATCAATATCTGGGATCTCACAGTCAATCAGTTGAAATTCTACCACTTCTCGATTTTTACAGCCAATAAGACTGTCCAATCGGACCACTAAATGATCCTGGCCCAAGCTTCGACTGGAAAAGGCATTAGGATCTTTCACACTCTTTCACTTAAATTTGACGCATTAGATTACACGGAAATGATAGATTGGAGCACTACAAAAATATCGTCTCCACCTCTTCTCCGTGGGTTTAGAGATGAAGAAATCAAAAGCGTCATACAATCGGGTGAAACCCCGGATTGGGATATAAGAGAGTTCCCATGTCACACGCAAGCTGTGGAGCGTTGTGTGAAGCTAGTTACCGAAGCTTCTCTTAAGGTATGCGGGCCGCAATCAAGGTATGGATACATTAGGGCAACACTCAAATCGAGAGAGGCAATTAACGAATTCAGCAGTAAGTGACATTGGAAAGGTCGGAATAAATCGGCACACAATCTTAATGGTTGGATGGAGGGAAGGGTGTGGGTGGATCTCTAAGTGTAGCTACCTCCTCGTGGTGAGTTCTGGGTTGTTTAGATAATAAATTAAAATTAATTAAATTATTTCTAAGCAAGCAAAGATTTGCACATTTGTATATGTAAACTTACGGAAAAAATTTGCATATTTTGCAAATATTTAGACGCTTTGCGCGATCGGAAGATATGGTTTAAAAGTGGTGATATTTTTTCTGCAGGCAACTCAATACTATTACTAACGTTTAAGCACCATAGCGCTAAAAAATACAAACATCAAGTTAAACAAAAGTATATGCGAAAAAACTGTCAAATTCGTATTTTTTTAAAACTTTGGGCGTTTTGCGCGATCTGAAGATGTTATCCGAATTTAATAAATTTTTTTTTGTTATGCTTTTATACACCTAAGGCAACTTTTGCGCGGTATAGCGAGTCCAAATTTTAACTTTGAAATTTTTCGATCCACCCTAATGAGTATGAGTATGAGTATGGGAACGTATGGCAGGCCCCAGATATATTATTCTCCACGATCTCCCGGGGATATTTTACCCCCTTTTCGTTCTCCTGCGTATCCCGCCAAATCACAGCATTACCTGTGTTTGTTGGATCCGAAGTTTTTACGCCGGCTGGTAAATCCGCCCTAGGAGGTCGTGGAAAACAATGTCAAAGGTTAAGGCCGCTCCCGGAATTTTTGTCAGCCGGGTCGGGCCATACGTCCAGTTTAGGAAGGGTTTTTGGGGGACATTGAACTGACCCAAAACTAAGTACAATCCGGAATCCCCCTCAACCAGGGCTTTAGTAATAACCCCATTTATTTGGTATTCTTGAATGGGGGTAGAAGTGTTAGTACGCTGCTAGAACCTGTCCTTTTGGTGTATTTCTGTACGTCACTGTCCGAGTCAGTATCAGGTTCCTGGTAACCTCTTTAGAATTGTTTGCCAAGTATCGGCTACCCATCTTGTATATTCCTTATTTATTTTAAAATTATTAATTGTCAACCAGTATCTATATAGATCTTATATAAATATCAATTAATCAATACCAATACTAATCAATACCAATAATCAATACCAATATCAACCAATAAATCAATTAATCAATATTACGTTAGTATCAATATCCACCAATTAATCAATCCATATTAATATTAATATCAATATCCATAATTCCAACATCAATATTAACATTAATACCAATAATATTAACATCAGTACCAATACCAACACCCATAATATCCATACCAATCAGTCGGTCTATTAATTTATTAATTAATTAACCAGTCTCTCTAATGTAAATACCAATATACAAAATGGGTAAATCCGGCTCTGTAGTGTATGTAATGGAATGCGGCTATATGGCGTAGGCTGAGTGGGTCTTCCTTCTTATCTATCCTAAATGCATATACAATATTACCTATTCACCAGTGTTGCCATTTGTAACAAAATTATCGAATTGTAACATAAATTTTTCTAAAAACAAGCTTGAAAATTATATGTAACATAACGATAATTGTAACGTAATTTTTTAATCCAAGTATCTGGACAACATTACCTTAATTCTATCCAGATTAATAAATTTAATTAAACATAAAGCCTGATTTATAGATTTTCTACCTTCCTCCCGTAAAATATCAGCAATACCGTAGTGCTGTTTATAGATTTCCGTACGGTATTTATAGTTCTAAAGGTAACGATAGAGGCATCGATAACGGTAGCCAAGTTGGGCATTGAATATTATATGAAACAATTTATAGTTGTCAGAGGAAGCGGTAAGGGAAGTAGGGGCAAGAACGTATACGTTATAGCGGCAAGAGCGGCAAGAGATGACCTTTTTTTATCTTTTCTTATCTCAACCGCGACTCCAGCCAATCACACGGCAGTTTTTAGTTGACAGCCTCGTCTTGTAAGCTTAGTGTTTTTGCTAGGGGCCGCCATTACCGCTACCGCTACTTTCTGAACTATAAATCCAGCTTTATACTATTTTTAACAAATTTTTTTTTCTAAAAATTTGATAATATCTTCAACCCTGCTTCTTTCACTTTTTTATGATTAAATTATAATAATTATTGTAACTTAATTTTCCGAAAATTCGATATTTTATTTACCCAATTCGATAATTTCAACTTTTACATCTGGCAACACTGCTATTCACACACAACACTTGTTTATGTTGTATTTTTGTCTTCTTGCTTGTTTGGTTTATTTATTTATTTATCTTACGCCTTTTTCGATGGTTGTTTATGATTTGTCTGCTATGAGAAAATGAGGATGTTTATTTAAACTTACGGAAATGTTCTTATTCTTTTTTAAATTTAGTTTTTGAGACAATAAAAATAATTCTTAGTATTTTTTTTTTGCAACATTGTGAAATGCTTATATAAACATTGTGAAATGCTTTTATAAACATTTAGCGAATATACGGTAAGACATGCAATTGGAAAAATAACTTAGCTTGATTATTAGGTGCTGGGATTGATCCAATTCGCAAGCCGCCCGCACGTGTGGTAGCCCAGTAAATTTCATTGGAACTGATCGTCTCTCTCACACCTTTTAACCAGGTCCAACACTTGAGGATTTAATCCAGGGGGAGGTACCACACACAATTTGCACTCTTTTGCACTTGGGACAGTTATCACGTTTAGAATCGATTGATTTTTTATTATTTTACGGCGTTAACCCGTTATCACGTTACTACGTTTGTATCGTATACGCTGCTTAGGAGAGATCTCTTTGAGCATATGCTTACACTTCAAGCATCAAGACCAAACTGCCTTGGAATTGTTACGCACAATTACAAACAAAAAAATTGTAATATTAAATTTGCATAGAAAAAAAAAACTTTCTTAAATTTAAAGGAAATTTAAAACATTAAAGGTAAGTCTTTAGAATTTGGCACATTATTGTCTATTTCAAAGGGCAAAATACACAAGTGACTTTTTAAATACACATTGAGAAGTTGTGGCTTTATAGCGTTTTAGTCACAGGTAGTTTTAACTTAAAAGTTGTAAAATGACATACAATCGCTAAAATAAAGTCCCTTTTTGTAAAATAATACTAAATGTGAAAATTATTGTTTTATCTTAATATAAAAATTACAAAAGTATTAAATAAATTCTCAACGCCGATATTTGAAAAGTTTGTATTCAGTTGTACTAACCTTTTGATTTCGCTGGCACTAAACTAGATTTAACTGATTTCGGTTGGAGATTCCAGCGTGAAGTACTATTGCGGCCAAAAAAAAGTAATCGACAAATTTTATCGTTGTAACTGTGGTTTTTAGCAGTGGCTTTTCATAAATAATTATTATAATAAATATTGACAGTTATTGTCAAATCTATTAAGACTTTACTTAAGTTAAGTAATAAATCATTGTTATGCCTTATCACACATTAAGTGAAGCCGAAAAAGGCTATATTATAGCGAAACTTGGAGAAGAATGGTCCCAACAACGCATAGCTGATGAAATCAATTGCAGCAAAAGCGCGATTCAAAAATTAAATAAAAAGTGGATGGAAACTGGTGAACTGGGAAGGGTAATGGGTTCTGGACGTCCAAGAAAAACCACTCTAATAAATGATAATGAGTTAGTTAATTATGTGAGGCAAAATCCATTCTCCAACTAGATCCAGGCAAAAGAGGAAACTAACTTCCCAGCATCCGTCAGGGCGGCTAGGAAACGGCTTCGAGAACAAGGCCTCTACAACTGTGTAAGTGCTAAGAAACCTTTCCTAACTAATATTAACAAAGAGGCAAGAGTGGACTTTGCTAATAATTTCCTCAATCAAAATGAACAATATTGGGAGCGAGTCGTCTTTTCAGACGAAAAGATATTCAAATCGTGTTACAATGGGCAACTGCGTGTTTATCTCCCCAGAAACCACAAGTTTGATGAAGAATACCTCCACAAAACTAACAACAGCGGAAGGTTTTCTGTTCATGTTTGGGCGTGAATATCTTCATCAGGGGCTGGTAGAATGCACATTGTAGAAGGCCGATTAACGGGTGATCGATATAGGGAAATTTTAGAAAATATTATGCTTCCATCGGTGCGAGAACGATTTGATGATGATTTTCTGTTTCAACACGTAAAACCTTTTAATTAACCTTTCCTAATTATATACCTATAAATATTTTTTTAAGGATAATTCACCAATTCATACTGCTCGTGTGGTTCAAAATTGGCTGAATGAAACAACGCTTCCTTGGCCGTAGAGGAGCCCAGACTTAAATCCGATTGAAAATATTTGGGGATATCTGGTGAAAAAAAATTATAAATATGAATTCAGACCAAGGGATAGACCGGCGCTTATTAATGCAATTCAAAATGAATGGAATAACTTAGAAAATTGTAATATGCAAAATTTGATTGGATCCATGCCCAGAAGGTTGCAAAGTATTTTAGAAAGGAATGGCGGTCCTACAAAATATTAATTTTATTAATTTTGGTTTTCAAATATTTATAAAATAATACATTTATTGTTTTTGTTACTTAAAAACTGTTCTTTGATTAGTGGCTTGAATAAAGTTTTTTTTTAATTTTAGTTTTTAATTAAAAAAATAAATGTTTCAAAAAGAAACACCAATGACTTTTTTTTTAATTTTAAATTTTAATTAAAAAAATAAATGTTTAAAAAAGAAACACCAATGACTTTTTGTCAAAATAATTTAATTGACATATTTGAAGTAAAAAGATATATTTACAACAGCAAATTTTTTTAAAAAACATGCTACTTGATAAAAATCGATTACTTTTTATCGGCCGCAATAGTACCTATAAAACATTATCTTTATTTTCACTGTAAAAAACTGCTTCTATATCGGTTTTAGTTAGTCCATTTTTAAGGGGTAACTAATTTCGATTAACACGTAAAAATTTGACATTTGACATCCCACATAGAACACAAGTTAGAATAGCACGCAACTGGTTTATAAACGTTTCTAGACACTTATT